AGCTTGTGTTAAAAAGGGTGAGAATTATGATGGAAATGAAGAAAGAGATAATAGAAAAATACGAAAGTGGAGTGCATATGTCCAAGTTGGAAAGGCTATACAACAAACCCCATTCAACCATCAATGCTATCTTGGTGAACAGAAAGGCAATCAAGGAAGTTGTTGTTGCAAAAGGTGCGTTGTTTTCAAACGGAGCCCGCAAATAGTTGAAGAGGTAAAAACTGTTTTGATATGGATAAACCAATTAAAAAAATGTTTTCTCATCTATAATTTGTGAAAAGGCAAGGCAGGTGATAAATCTCTTTAAAAAAATGCTTAAAAAATAGGATGAATTGATGAATTTAAGCCCAGCAAAGGCTGGTTTGGGGTTTTTTAAAATCGTGTGGCATACGTGTCAAAGGGCATGGTGAGGCTGCCAGTTCAGACAAAAAGCGCTGAAAAATATTTAAAGGAATCAAAAACTGAAAATTTAAAACCGAACAAGGTTTAATTTGACAAAACAGGCCTGTTTTGGAAAAAAATATAAAAACAGGACCTACATTATTCAGGGGGAAAAGCACTCCCGGACTTTGGCCTATGAAAGACAGGCTAATTAATTTTGGTAGTAATGTTAGGGGTGATTGCAAAGTGAAGCCTTTTATTGGTGATCACTCTGAAACCCCCAAGGGGGTTCAGGAAAAACAATTTTGTAAAGGGAATTTTGTTGGCTGTGGAGATCAAACATAAGGATGGGCCCAAAGGGAATTTTTTCTTGGACTGGTTTTAGGGTTGTTTTTGGCCCCCACGTGAAAAAAATACCTCCGGAAAAGAAATTGTCACTCGTGCCTCCTGAAAGGGGACAACGCTCGCTCACCTTAGACTTGAAAGGGGAAATTGCAGAGGTTTTTGGGTTTTATTAAAGTTAAGTTTTTGCCTCCTAATACAACTCCTCTCCTCCACCCTGGACCAGCAGGTCATTTAAACTAAAAAAACCCTTACAAAAAACAGTGTTTAATAGTGCTTTGAAGTAAAATCAGACATCAATTAACCCAAAGGGAGATTTTGGGGAAAGATCACTTCAATATCCTCAGTTCATAAACCTTATGGGAAAAGGCTTGGGGGGATGACTTGCGGGACTTTGAACTCGTTTGGGAGGAAATGGGGCCACAATGTGTCAAGAGAGGGATTTTGAAGGGGTTTGGGCTAACCCTAGGAGTTTATACCAGTAGTAAAAGGTTTGTGCCCTTTGGGAAGCCCTTTGGGGGTTCGAGGTTTTGGCAAGGATGTGGAAGAGTTGGTGCAGAACGACGGGGAAGAATAACCTGCAGCCTGCAGAGCTTCAGGTGTACAGCAACAGTCACTCTCGAAATGTTTTTTCCCAGGGAGGAGAAGTACTTCCAAGGGACAGAAAAAAGATGATTTCGTCAGGTTTTAGGAAATTGTTCAATGTTTACAAAGGGGGAAGCGTTTATAGATGTCTTTTTCTGTCATAAAAGTTCAAGTCGTATGGAACTTAAAAAGACACCTTGTGTCCCTTTTTGGGGGAAACCAAAGGGGCACGGGGAGAAACAGAGCTATGGGACAGATTTTTTGGTGCGACAGGGGCCAGTGACTCTCAACTGGTCCTAGGGGAATTTAAAAAAAACAAGAAGGGAGGTAACCCACAAAGGTTTTAAAGTACCTAAGCTTTAGGAAAGGGGGATTCCCCTTCCAAACAATAAACACTTGCACACCCCCTCCTACTGTTTCATCACTCATCAAAACTCCACAAAAAAGGAAAAGGGGCTTTTAAAATTATTGTTTTTTTTTGCATGTCCCTTTTGTTTTGGGGGGAAATGTAATTTCATGTAAAAAAATTTTTCTTTATATTTTCGGTGTCGGGAGAGATTAATTCTATTTCCATTTTTTCTTAGGGGGAAAATTAATTGACTAATGCAGATTCGACTAACGTTTCTCTCTGGAATGTTAATGCTGTTGGTCGGGGCCCACTGTGGTTTAAAAACTACTACAATTTCCCTTTTTGTCATTATTGTTATGGTCATATCATTTTTCAGCCCCCAAAAACCCATAGTGTAAAATCCCCTTTTTTGTTTGAACTTAAAATTGTTAAAAATTTTTGTAACCATTGTTTTCATGGCCTCTCCCACCAGTACTCGAAAACCAAAGAAAACACATTCCCAAACATTCATCTTTGCCTTTTTTTTCCAAAATTGACTAACACACGAAGAAACTCCTTACCCGTCCTCAAGTGCTTTTATCTCTGAGAGCTAAAGCAAAACACAAAATGTCCTTTTTTTTTTGGTGGCCAGTAAAAGTGTAACTTGCAAATGAAAGATGTGACACCCGTTCAGATTTGAAACTTATGCAGTTGAAAGTTTTTTTTTCCTTATACCTATATTTATTATCGTGCATTGCCTTTCTGGGGTTTTTGAACAGTTAAAACAGTACCCTTTAAATTAGGGTAGGAAGAAAGATTTGTAGAAGGGGGGTGTACATTTTCAACTTTCAGTGTTACATTCTGGTTTGAGTAATTTTTGGATATTTTGAATTAGGTAGTGGGCAAATTATGGTCATTGTTTTCAGATGGTTATTGTATTTTTTATATTATTTTTTATAGATTTTTTTATTTTTTTTCGTAGAAGACCAGTATATTCATCTCTTATAATAAAAAAAGGGATCAGCAGAAAAACGTGTGAACTAACAAAATACTTAACTTCCAGGGTTTGACAATTCAACGCAAAATACAACCCTGTTGGAGAACTCGCTCCGGAGGCATTCCTTAAAAAAGACAAATTTTCTTTAAAGGAAGATTTTTGGCCACTTTAAAAAAGGTTGCTCGCATGTAGGGTTGTTCCTCATGGTCTCCTTACTCACTTTTTCCCATGCCTATCTAACTTTTTCTTACCCAAAATTTCTTGTATCCTCTACCCCCACCTAAGCCAACATCACCCTTGCTAATAATCACGGGCTTGAAACATTACTACATAAAAAAATTCTGTTTCCCTATATATAGCACATTTGTCATTTACATACAAATGATCACCCTTTTGCGCCAGACAACAACCTCTCCTAAACCTATTTTGTATACTAACATTCAGTGGCAGATGTTGCAAGTAATGGGAAAAGGTGGAATTTTTTAAAAACTGTTTTAAAGGTTTTTAGAGGATAGTGAGGCTCAGGTTGGGTGTGTAAAGAGAGGGAGAAAACTTCCCCGGGAAAAGTAGGTCTTAGACAGGGATGTTAATGTCACCAGGTTGTTTAAAATATTTAAGAGGGGTTGGAAAAAAAAGTAAATGCTAGGGGGTTCGGGAGAGGGGTGGGTTAAATTATGGGGGAAACAAAATTTAAAAAGGAATTGACACAGTTATTTTTTTCTGATGAAAATTGTTATGGAGATTTTAAAAAAAAATTTCAAAGGTTTGGGTGAGTTTTAGGGAAGTGTGTAAAGGGAGAAATTGGAAGTGAACATGAAAAGAGTAGGGAGAGGGGATCAAATGATTTTTATAAAAAAAAATTGGGTATCAAAATTTGGGGAAAGGGGTATGAAGAAGGAAGTTTTTAGATACTTGGGGAGTTGAGTGTCGGGGGATGGGTTTATGAAAGGGTAGGTTAATCAAGAATTGATGGGGAAAAAAGGGAGTGGTGCATTTAGGTATATGTGGACAAAAAACGTTTTCTATGGAGCAAAGAAAGGGGTGTATGAAAATATAGTATACCAAAAACTTTTAGGTTTGAAGCTTGGGTGGAAAAAGCAGCAGGGGAGACGGTTGGAGGATGGAGATGTCCTGTCTAAGGGGAAGTTGGTGTAATATTAGCAGAAAATTCGGAGGTGGGAAATTTGGAGAAGGGGTGGATTAAAAAAACATTAGTCAGAGGGCAGAAGAGGGGTTGTTGGGGTTTTTTGGGCATTAGAGAGAATGGGCAAAGTAGAATGACATGGAAAGCATAAAATCATAGGGGAAGGAAGGGGGGGGTAGGGGTCGTCCCCGAAAAAGGGTTGGGAAAAGGGGGGAAAGAGGTTTTGTGGGGGAGGGGTTGGATTCCACAACGTGCATGAGCGTGTTAGTAGGTGAAAGGAGACAAAGATACTTTTGGGGCCTGATGATCTGTTGGAGGTGAACGGTAAAAATTTTGGAAGAATTCAGGGAAGGTTTTTATTCAATAGTCGGACTTGAGTCCCCGGGAAAAGGAAGACAATGCCTGCACTTTTTAAAGGGGGGGTTTGGGATATTTGGAGTTTTGGAGGGATATGTTGTGTATCTTTATACGATATGCTTCTAACCCGTTGTATTCGAGCACCCGCAAAAACAGTGATAAGTTTTAGTTTGGGGAAAAGGGTTTATGATGATAAAGTATTTTTTTTTTGGGGATTTTCTTTCTTTTTTGGGGACCCGCCTCGGGGGGAGACGGGGCCCACTTTTTGAAAAAAAAAAAAAAAAATTCCCTCGCTATTTTCATACTACATATTAAACCTCCCCAAAAATCTTTCATAATTTGCAACAGAAAAACATCGGGATAATATAACACAAAAATCCTTATGATATTCCCTGTAGCCCACCTTAACCCTTTATAAAAAATTTAGTAGCTAAAAAGGGGGAAAAATATGGGAAAAAACCCACCTAAAGCTGTAGAATCTCTCTGTTGCCAGCCACTTCAAAGCTTTGTTAAAAAATACTCTTTACCTAAGTGATCTTAACAACAATTAATAATTTTTATTATTTTCTTTCAACCTTATTTTCCCCGTCCATATCTGTATTCCTTCAACTCATTTACCAGCCTCATCCTTTTTATATACAACAATTAGTTTTTTATTTTTTTTGAATTTCAAAAAACCTCCCAAAGTTTTAAAAACTTTGTATTTTTCCCTTTTTCTCGATAATTGCAATCATAATTTAGTTTTTAAGGGGGCCCAAATGCTATGTATTTAAAAAAGGGCTTTCAATAAAATGATAATTTAAAGACAGACCCTAATTTCTAAATACTGTATTCTCTTTTTAAAAATAAAGTTTGTTTTTTTTCAGGCGGGGTCAGTTTTTTCTAAAAAGAAATTCTTTGGTGTAAACCCTTTGTTTTATGTTAAATGTTGTATTTTACTTTATCTTTGCAGTCTTTATTCATTTATATTAATCTCTTTTGTAATTAAAGGTCTGAATATTTAAATGAAGGCAAAAATTACCCCGGACTTAAACCCTTTTTTTCAGATATCAGCTGTAGTAATGTAAAAACAAGACATTTCATTAATTTTGTCTTAAAACATAACACTAGATCAAAGGACAATAAACTAAAACCATCAGAAGACGGGTTTGAGTTTTTTTCGGTCGCATACTCTTTGGCTTTTCTCTAGTTGTCCTTACTAAATATATATTGTCTCAGAAACTAAAACAACATGAGTTTCATTACGTTTACAGTTTAAACCCGCCCAAAAGGATCTTTTTGGAGATTGATTTTGTAGTCATGTTTTGTATATGCCCAATACATTTTCTGAAAACCTTTGACATATTTTGGAAATTTTTTTACTACCATAGCTGCTCAACCAGGCTTTTCGCTGGGCCTCTGACCCCATAAACCCCTCACAAACCCAACATTGTGATAAAAGGGGGAGGAGAGGGGGGGCCACAGCCCGGAGTTTGGTTATTAAATGAGCAGGAGTAGGGAAATGGTCCAGGGTTTTTTCGTTCCAAAAAATGTTTTTGGGAAAGGTCATTAACCCTTTGACTGTTTCGGGCGTTTATTGTCTTAGCCCGCTGTTTCTGACGTATTTTTTCGCGTAAATTTCTAGGGGCTTCAAATAAAGCGGAGAAAGCTGGTAGGCCTCCCAAAGAGAAAGGGGTCTGAGGGGTGGGGTGCATCCTGTGAAAAAAAACGGGACCAGGGTGCTTTGGGGAAAAAGCCATCTTGGTATCCATTTTCACCATGCCTTGCAGTAAGAAGTACCTCACTCCTTGGCGGTTTGGGGGTCTTTTTTCCCCAATGATAGCTCTAACAGCGTTGAAAGTGTCAGGAAAGTGATTCCCCCAGGGTTTTTTAAAGGGGTTTGTGACCAAAAAACAGTGCCCGGGAAACGTATTAAGTAAAAAACCCAGATGACCCACGACCTTCCCCACCTCTGTGGGGCCGGCTTGTTCATGTTTTCCCCTGTACCAGGATAAAGGGGAAACTATTTGCCCCTGTACAGGACCGATGTGAGCAGTGAAAGGATAGTGATATTTTTCAAACTATTAAAAGCAGTTTCTAGTTGCACAGTGAGGGGAATATTCCCCAGGAAGCACAGTATGTCGAGTAGCAGCGGTCTGGGATGGCAATCGTTCCAAAGGGGAATTTGAAAAAATCGGGGCAATCCCATGGGCCCCCACCCCGACTTTATAGTGAAAAATACATAGTTTCGATGGGTGGAAGAGTGATGAGGCGCAGGTGGTGAGGGGATATGATGGTGCATGAGTCATGTGCACCAGCACAGGCCATGCTACTCTGACCTGCTACTGCACAACTGCACAACCTTCCAAAAACCCCAATCTGCACAAAAAAAAAAAAACCCCAACCACTTTCAAATCCAGAACCCCCCGGGAACCCCACGGGATTGGCAGGGAAAGGGATGAGCTTTTTTCCCATCCCCATGACTTTGATAAACACAAAGTGGAATACGGCCAACGTGTCACTTGGGGAAAAATGCTACTAAAACCGGGAAAGGTTTTAGTTATTCTTCGATAACCCCTGATGGCATTTTTGTCAGGGGAAACCCAAAACATACATGAGTACCCATGGCAAAAACAAATTTTCCCCAAGATCATGGGTACACCATGGGAAGGGCCAACGTGGCGAGATGTACCTGTTTTTTTTGCCACATAATGCATGCCACATGTGAAAAAGCACCTGTCACCCATACTGGGCAACAGAACACCTTATTTCACCCCGGGGTTTTGGACATTAAAGGGGTGAATCATTTTTTTTATACTGTTCCTAGTTACACTTTTTTAAACAAAAAAAGGCCTACAGAAGCGACAGGGTTTATAAACAAAATGTTTTTTTTGACCAAACAAAAGTTTTTAGTATTTTTACCCTTCAGGAACTTGTTATTTATGAGTCTTTTTATTTTATTCAAAGGGAAAACTCTCTTCAACAATCAAAACCCAACAAAGGAAAAAGCTTTGGTATAAATTATTTGTATTTTTGATTGCAGAAGTGGCTATTTTTGGATTCTTTTTGTACACTGGCATAATCATTGAAGGGTACCAGAAGTTATTGGGTATCTCTGGTGATGTGGTTAGAACAATGATAGAACCATATCTTGGTAAGGGGCATATATTATATACTGATAACTGGTACACAAGCCCCATACTCAGTGATTTCTTGCGAGTGAACCTGACAGACGTGTGTGGCACAGTGCGTGGTAATCATAAACATATACCAAGGTTCGACGCTGGCACTCGCAGAGGTGAGGTGCAGGCCTTTGCTGCCAATGACATCATAGCATTTCGGTGGCCTGAGAAATGTGATGTCACATTGCTGACATCAGTTCACCGAAACGAAATGGCACACGCTGGCAGGCACAATAGAGAGACCAATGAACCCATTCTAAAACCTGCAGCTGTCATGGACTACAACCTCAATATGCGCTTAGTGGACAAATGTGACATACAGATTGGGTTTGCTGATTGTGTACGCAAGAGTCATAAGTGGTATATGAAACTTTTTTTCCATCTTCTTGATATTTCCATGCTAAATGCTTATAACATATACAAGGTAGTAGGTTGGTAGACAGCAACCACCCAGGGAAGTACAGTGGACCCTCACATAACGATATTAATTGGTACCCGAGAACGAATATCGTTAAGCGAGTTTTTTAACGTTATCCGAGGGAAAATGTTAGCTTTAAAAGTATCGTTATGCGAATTTAACGTTATGTGATGCCAACGTTATGCAAGGGTCCACTGTACTACCGTCCTGCCAGATGACTGTGAAACAAAAACCTGTAACTGTTTTGCATGATGGTAGGATTGCTGGTTTCTTTTTCTGTCTCATAAACACGCTAAGATAACAGGGATATCTTGCTACTCCTACTTACACTTTGGTCACACTTCACAGACACGCACATGCATATATATATATACATACATCTAGGTTTTTCTCCTTTTTCTAAATAGCTCTTGTTCTTTTTTATTTCTTCTATTGTCCATGGGGAAGTGGAAAAGAATCTTTCCTCCGTAAGCCATGCGTGTCGTATGAGGCGACTAAAATGCCGGGAGCAATGGGCTAGTAACCCCTTCTCCTGTATACAATTACTAAAAAAGAGAAGAAGAAAAACTTTATAAAACTGGTTGCTTAAATGTGCGTGGATGTAGTGCGGATGACAAGAAACAGATGATTGCTGATGTTATGAATGAAAAGAAGTTGGATTCCTGGCCCTAAGCGAAACAAAGCTGAAGGGGGTAGGAGAGTTTCAGTGGGGGAAAAAAATGGGATTAAATCGGAGTATCTGAGAGAGTTAGAGCAAAGGAAGGGTAGCAGTAATGTTAAATGGTCAGTTATGGAAGGAGAAAAGAGAATAGAATGTGTAAATTCAAGAATTATGTGGATTAAAGTAAAGGTTGGATGCGAGAAGTGGGCCCATAATAAGCGTGTATGCACCTGGAGAAGAGAGGAATGCAGAGGAGAGAGAGAGATTTTGGGAGATGTTAAGTGAATGTATAGAGCCTTTGAACCAAGTGAGAGAGTAATTGTGGTAGGGGACTTGAATGCTAAAGTAGGAGAAACTTTTAGAGAGGGTGGGGTAGGTAAGTTTGGGGTGCCAGGTGTAAATGATAATGGAGCCCTTTGATTGAACTTTGTATAGAAAGGGGTTTAGTTATAGGTAATACATATTTTAAGAAAAAGAGGATAAATAAGTATACACGATATGATGTAGGGCGAAATGACAGTAGTTTGTTGGATTATGTATTGGTAGATAAAAGACTGTTGAAGTAGACTTCAGGATGTACATGTTTATAGAGGGGCCACAGATATATCAGATCACTTTCTAGTTGTAGCTACACTGAGAGTAAAAGGTAGATGGGATACAAGGAGAATAGAAGCATCAGGAAAGAGAGAGGTGAAGGTTTATAAACTAAAAGAGGAGGCAGTTAGGGTAAGATATAAACAGCTATTGGAGGATAGATGGGCTAATGAGAGCATAGGCAATGGGGTCGAAGAGGTATGGGGTAGGTTTAAAAATGTAGTGTTAGTGTGTTCAGCAGAATTTGTGGTTACAGGAAAGTGGGTGCAGGAGGGAAGAGGAGCGATTGGTGGAATGATGATGTAAAAGAGTAGTAAGGGAGAAAAAGTTAGCATATGAGAAGTTTTTAAAAAGTAGAAGTGATGCAAGGAGGAAGAGTATATGGAGAAAAAGAGAGAAGTTAAGAGAGTGGTGAAGCAATGTAAAAAGAGAGCAAATGAGAGAGTGGGTGAGATGTTATCAACAAATTTTGTTGAAAATAAGAAAAAGTTTTGGAGTGAGATTAACAAGTTAAGAAAGCCCAGAGAACAAATGGATTTGTCAGTTAAAAATAGGAGAGGAGAGTTATTAAATGGAGAGTTAGAGGTATTGGGAAGATGGAAGGAATATTTTGAGGAATTGTTAAATGTTGATGAAGATAGGGAAGCTGTGATTTCGTGTATAGGGCAAGGAGGAATAACATCTTGTAGGAGTGAGGAAGAGCCAGTTGTGAGTGTGGGGGAAGTTCGTGAGGCAGTAGGTAAAAATGAAAGGGGGTAAGGCAGCCGGGATTGATGGGATAAAGATAGAAATGTTAAAAGCAGGTGGGGATATAGTTTTGGAGTGGTTGGTGCAATTATTTAATAAATGTATGGAAGAGGGGAAGGTACCTAGGGATTGGCAGAGAGCATGCATAGTTCCTTTGTATAAAGGCAAAGGGGATAAAAGAGAGTGCAAAAATTATAGGGGATAAGTCTGTTGAGTGTACCTGGTAAAGTGTATGGTAGAGTTAAATTGAAAGAATTAAGAGTAAGACGGAGAATAGGATAGCAGATGAAAAAGGAGGCTTTAGGAAAGGTAGGGGGTGTGTGGGCCAGGTGTTTACCAGTGAAACATATAAGTGAACAGTATTTAGATAAGGCTAAAGAGGTCTTTGTGGCATTTATGGATTTGGAAAAGGCGTATGACAGGGTGGATAGGGGGCAATGTGGCAGATGTTGCAAGTGTATGGTGTAGGAGGTAGGTTACTGAAAGCAGTGAAGAGTTTTTTACGAGGATAGTGAGGCTCAAGTTAGAGTATGTAGGAAAGAGGGAAATTTTTTCCCAGTAAAAGTAGGCCTTAGACAAGGATGTGTGATGTCACCGTGGTTGTTTAATATATTTATAGATGGGGTTGTAAGAGAAGTAAATGCGAGGGTCTTGGCAAGAGGCGTGGAGTTAAAAGATAAAGAATCACACACAAAGTGGGAGTTGTCACAGCTGCTCTTTGCTGATGACACTGTGCTCTTGGGAGATTCTGAAGAGAAGTTGCAGAGATTGGTGGATGAATTTGGTAGGGTGTGCAAAAGAAGAAAATTAAAGGTGAATACAGAAAGAGTATAGGTTATGAGGATAACAAAAAGATTAGGTGATGAAAGATTGAATATCAGATTGGAGGGAGAGTGTATGGAGGAGGTGAACGTATTCAGATATTTGGGAGTGGACGTGTCAGCGGATGGGTCTATGAAAGATGAGGTGAATCATAGAATTGATGAGGGGAAAAGAGTGAGTGGTGGACTTAGAAGTCTGTGGAGACAAAGAACTTTGTCCTTGGAGGCAAAGAGGGGAATGTATGAGAGTATAGTTTTACCAACGCTCTTATATGGGTGTGAAGCGTGGGTGATGAATGTTGCAGCGAGGAGAAGGCTGGAGGCAGTGGAGATTTTCATGTCTGAGGGCAATGTGTGGTGTGAATAGAATGCAGAGAATTCGTAGTTTGGAAGTTAGGAGGAGGTGCAGGATTACCAAAACTGTTGTCCAGGGGGCTGAGGAAGGGTTGTTGAGGTGGTTCGGACATGTAGAGAGAATGGAGCGAAACAGAATGACTTCAAGAGTGTATCAGTCTGTAGGGAAGGAAGGCGGGGTAGGGTCGGCTAGGAAGGGTTGGAGGGAGGGGGTAAAGGAGGTTTTGTGTGCGAGGGGCTTGGACTTCCAGCAGGCATGCGTGAGCGTGTTTGATAGGAGTGAATGGAGACAAATGGTTTTTAATACTTGACGTGCTGTTGGAGTGTGAGCAAAGTAACATTTATGAAGGGATTCAGGGAAACCGGCAGGCCGGACTTGAGTCCTGGAGATGGGAAGTACAGTGCCTGCACTCTGAAGGAGGGGTGTTAATGTTGCAGTTTAAAAACTGTAGTGTAAAGCACCCTTCTGGCAAGACAGTGATGGAGTGAATGATGGTGAAAGTTTTTCTTTTTCGGGCCACCCTGCCTTGGTGGGAATCGGCCGGTGTGATAATAAAAAAATAAAAGTTGAGGACCAACAACAAACCAAAATATGGTGAATTTTGTTTGTCAATCATCAGACAAATAATCGCCAAGTACCAAGGAGCAGCACCTGCAATAGACCAGCGCCCACAAAATTACCAACACATGCCATCTCGTGTGAGGCCTGGTGATCGCTACCCCATACAACTGCCTCCTACCGCATTCAAGAAAAGTGCTCAGAAGAGGTGTTTTGTATGTGGACATAACACAAAACGCCCACAAACATGCAGATACACTCGTTTTATGTATGAAGAGTGTCAAGTACCACTCTGCATATACCCATGTTTCAAAGAGTTCCACAAGCTGCAGCAGTTCTAGGAAAGATACACAACATATCCCTCCAAACTGCCAATATCCTGAACCCTTCCTTTAGAGTGCAGGCATTGTAATTCTCATTTCCAGGGCTCAAGTCTGGCTATATAAAAATAACCGGTTTCCCTGAATCCCTTCACTAAATGTATTACCCTGCTCACACTCCAACAGATTGTCAGGTCCCAAATACCATTCTTCTCTATTCACTCCTATCGAACACGCTCATGCACGCCTGCTGGAAGTCCAAGCCCGTCGCCCACAAAACCTCCCTTACCCCTTCCTTCCAACCTTTTCGAGGACGACCCCTACCCCGCCTTCCTTCCCCTACAGATTTAAATGCTTTCCATGTCATTCTACTTTGATCCATTGTCTCTTAATGACCAAACCACCTCTAACAACCCCTCTTCAGCCCCCTGACTAATTGTTCTATTAACTCCACACCTTCTCCTAATTTCCACACTCCAAATTTTCTGCATAATATTTGCACCACACATTGCCCTTAGACAGGACATCTCCACTGCCTCCAACCGCCTCCTCGCTGCTTTCTCTTTCTTATCATTTGCACAACATCCACGCACATTCAGACTTCCCACTTTGACAATTTTCTTCTTATTCTTTTTAGTAATTATTACAGGAAAAGGGGTTACTAGCCCATTGTTCCCGGCATTTTAGTTGATTTTTACAACACGCATGGCTTACGGAGGAAAGATTCTTGTTCCACTTCCCCATGGATATAAAAGGAAAAGTAATAAGACCAAGAACTATTAAGATAAAATCAAAGAAAACTCAGATGAGTGTGTATAAATAAACATGAACATGTATGTGTAGTGTGACCTAAGTGTAAGTAGAAGTAGCAAGACATACCTGTAATCTTGCATATTTATGAGACAGACAAAAGACACCAGCAATCCTTTCTTCTTTCTTTCAACACACCGGCCATATCCCACCGAGGCTGGGTGGCCCAAAAGGAAAAACGAAAGTTTCTCCTTTTACATTTAGTATTATATGCAGGAGAAGAAGTTACTAGCCCCTTGCTCCCGGCATTTTAGTCGCCTCCTACAACACGCATGGCTTACGGAGGAAGAATTCTGTTCCACTTCCCCATGGAGATAAGAGAAAATAAACAAGAACAAGAGCTAGTAAGAAAATAGAAGAAAACCCAGAGGGGTGTGTATATATATATGTTTGTACATGTATGTGTAGTGTGACCTAAGTGTATGTAGAAGTAGCAAGACGTACCTGAAACCTTGCATGTTTATGAGACAGAAAATTGGACACCAGCAATCCTACCATCATGTAAAACAATTAAAGACTTTTGTTTTACACTCACTTGGCAGGACGGTAGTACCTCCCTGGGTGGTTGCTGTCTACCAACAATAGTAATAAACAATGTTTTGTATTGTTTGTGTAAACAAGTTTTGTACACAATCTAGTAGTGATAATGTTTGTTCAGTTATTGTGTTGTAAACAATGAGTGTATATTTGAACAGTGCACCTTACTTTGGTCTCACAGGCCACATAAGTTACTTAGAAAAGAAAAATATTGGAAAATACAAGAAACCTTCGAATTGGAGTAAATAAAAGAATATCGGGTGGGCGGCATTCGCCGCTGTTGCCATACGCCGCTCATTTTCTGCCAACTTTGCGCCTCTGTATCTCGGTAAGTACTGATGGAAACAATTTTTTTAGGCTTAAAACACTCGGTAAAAGAATCCTAACTTTTTGGTAAGAAAAATAATTTATTTTTTTTCGAATATTTTGCGACATAGAATAACAGTTTCAGAAAGGGGCCTGCGACAGTCAAAGGGTTAAAAGGAGATCACTATAATTACTGCATATATAAAAAAAAAATTAATAAATGTGTTTTAATGTATGTTTACTTATCATTTGTAGGAAGTAATGTTTGATCTAGAGGAGGGCAAGTACCAGAATGCTGAGTTGCGACTTTCAGTATATGGCAAGTCAGCAGACGAATGGGACAAACTGGCTCGTTGGGCAGTAAAGCACAATGTGCATTCAGAGAACGTGCGTTGGCTAATTCAAGTGCCACGACTTTAGTGAGTACACTGCAGAAGATCCAGCCATATTTACAGCTTCATTTACATTATGTTTACATTTGGATTTTAATTTTATAATGAGGTATACAATATATTAAATACAATATTTATTTTTTTCATGGCAGAAATGTAATTTTTACAACATTATCTGATTTGTAATACAGTAGACCATCATTTAACATGGTTTTGTCTTGCACGTTTTGGTTATAGAACGACTGAAGAATTGCAGCATATTTTTGTTTAGCACTTTGTAAAATTAGTTTAACACGGTTGCGGGAGGGGAAAAAATTTGAGCGCACAGTCGCCTGCAGGGCATGATGGGCTACACTCATCCCCTGCCAGTCTCAGCCACCCCCACCACCCTCCCAACCTTCAGTTCGGGTCACACATGTGTTGGACGAACCTGTAGCTCGCTGTTTAGATACGTATTAATTGCCATATCTTAAATCTGCCAAGCAATTATGGCACCCAGTAGCCGGAATGAAGAATCAATTTGTACATAAAAGGAATGAGGTAAATGAGTTTGTGTGATGACTGACTGACTTACTGACTGACTTACTGACTAACCTACTGGCTGACTTACTGACTGACTTACTGACTGACTTACTGACTGACTTGACTGACTTGACTGACTGACTGACTTGACTGACTGACTTGACTGACTGACTTACTGACTTGACTAACTGACTTACTGACTTGACTGACTAACTTACTGAGTGACTGACTTACTGACTTGACTGACTGACTTACTGAGTGACTGACTTACTGAACTGACTTACAGACTTGACTTACTGACTTGACTGATTTATGCACACTCCGGTACAACCATCGACTTCAGTACCAGAACCTCTACCATCCACCTCAGCCCAGTAGGACCACAGTATAACTCTCCACTCTCTTCACAATCATCGACAAACACCAGCACCCATAATTTAAGGTAAGAAATACTATTATTTATGTTGCATTTGTAGTCTTAACCCTTTGAGGGTCGACAGGCTCTCTCCGAGACTTGTTCTCAGGGTCGGCCAAATTTAAAAAAAAAAATAATTTTTTCCTATGAAAATATAGAGAATCTTTTCCCAAATCATAATGATGCCAAAAGTATGAAATTTGATGGAAAACTTACGGAATTATGTTCTCGCGAAGTTAGTGGTCTCGACAATGTTTACGCATCGGCGATTTTGCCCACTTTGAGCTCTATTTTCGGCCAATTCCAGTGTACTAGTCGACAAAAATCATAACTATTTCTCTAGAACTCCATTTTTTCTATTGAATGAGTACAAGAAACCACCCATTTACTAATTTCAAATACAGTGGTCAGAATTTAGCAATTTTGCCAATTTCACACAAATTTCAAATGATTCCAATTTCCAAATAGGGTCCAGATTAAACAAGAAAGACATTTCTGGCACTAAAATAACATTTCCTCTGTTCGTTAGTCACATCCCCAGACCCCTCTTATATTTCTTTGGCTTTCCACTTTCAATTTTTATTATTACAAAAAATAGAAGATTTACTGTTATGCAGATTGCTGCATTAATGTAGAAATGGTATAAATAATATCAGCGCACTTGTAAAAGAATATTAGGCTCACCAGTTGACATGTATTGGATGCTTGGCATGATTTGTTTACTTTTGAACTTTGGTAAAAATCAACATTTCTGCTACTTTGAGCTAAATTTCAAGGTACTTTTCATTGTAAAACCAGCCAAAATCATCTCAATTTCTGTAATATGTCTTCCATTCTATAAAATGAGACCAAGAAAACTAGAATACAACAATAAATACCATATGAAAATACAGTGCAAAGTCGCTGTTTTATTCCAAAAACACGGTCAAAGTTTTTTTTTCCTTATTACGCACTGTGTGCTGCAGGATTTTTTTTATACTGCGCACACTGACCACATAGACCCATTCTTTCATATGTATGCCTACCAGCTTTCTCCCACTAGATTTGAGGGCGCTAGAATTTAGGCGTACTAGCACGTCAAAAACCCTGGGTCGTAAGCCGTACTAGTACGGCCGAAACCCTCAAAGGGTTAAGCAGTAAAAACAACATAATACATCACAACAATGAACTACAATTACATATTCCTTTTATTTTTGTAAGATCTGGAGGTCTAAAAAAAAGTTTTGGGGGGACTCCCAGGAACATAACCCTATTTTTCCCATAAGTTCTTCAGTTTGTCTAACACGACGTTTTCAGGAACGTAACTACCATGTTAAACGACGGTCTACTGTATTGCAATTTCTTTGATTAGCATTAGCATTTTTTTTTTTAACATGGCTGTGTATAAAAATACTTTATAAAAAAGCTGACCATGAGGAATTCTAATGTTACAAAGGCATGCTGTGTTGTACTCTTGCCCTTTTCTTGAGACCGTGTTGAACTTGTGGAAAAATAATACAGACTCAGTCTTGTGTTAATGCACCCCACTGACCTCATTATGTACATAACCCAACTAGCCAGGCAGGGTGCTTGTTTTTTAGTAGTCACATGGCCCTTAAATTAATTTGACAACCAGCCAGAGAATTTTGTTAAAATGTGCTTACCAGATTTCATCAAACACATTTTTTCTTTTAATATTCTTTCCTATAAATGTCAGTATTAAAAAATATCAGAGAATTATTAAACAAATATGACTACTGAAACACAGAAAAGTAAATCCAATAATAGGATTTCTCTGAAAATTGATTCAATCAGTTAATCAGTTTCTCCACTGCCTCCAACCGCCTTCTCACTGCAGCATTTACAACCCAACCTTAGCACCCATATAAGAGTGTTGGTACTACTATACTTTCATACATTCCCTTCTTTGCCTCCATAGATAACATTTTTTGTCTCCACATATACCTCAATGCACCACTCACATTTTTTTCTTCATCAATTCTATGATTAACCTCATCCTTCATAAATCCATCCACTGACAAATCAACTCCCAAATACAGTGGACCCTCGCCTTACGATATTAATCCGTTCCTGAGAGCTCATCATAAGCCGAAATTATCGTTAGCCGAATTAATTTTCCCCATAAGAAATAATGGAAATCAAATTAATCCATTCCTGATACCCCAAAGTATGAAAAAAACAAAAAATTTTCCCACATGAAATATTAATTTTAAGGCACACAAACTGAAGAAGACACGCACAATTACTACTCGACTAAGAATAGAATACATGACACTTATTTTTATTGAAGATCTGGTGGTGATTGATGGGATGGGAGGAGGGGAGAGTATGGAAATTATTGTTTAGAAGGGAAATCCCCTTCCATTAGGACTTGAGGTAGCAAGTCCTTTTCTGGGGTTACTTCCCTTCTTCTTTTAATGCCACTAGGACCAGTTTGAGAGTCACTGGATCTCTGTCACACAACAAATCTGTCCACAGAGCTCTGTACCTCCCGTTCCTTTAAGACTTTCCTAAAATGGGCCATAACATTGTCATTGTACAGGTTACCAACACGGCTTGCAGTAGCTGTGTCAGGGTGATTTTCATCCGTAAAGGTTTGCGGTTCAACCCACTTTGCACACATTTCCTAAATCTCTTTTTTAAATTTCATACTAATTCATGCCCTTTTTACCACAGGGATGGCACTAGAAGCTTTCTTGGGGTCCATGGTGACTTATTTTGCAGTTACAAGCACTAAAAATATTGGGATAATATGAAATGTACCGAATGTATGCGTAGATGTGACCGCACTGGCTGGCTTGTAAACACTAGCGCTGAGGCCACACGTGGGACGCGTCCTGGACGAATCATGTAAGGCGAGTTTTTTATTGTGAGGCGAGGCAAAATTTTTGAGTTCAAATGCTTCATATGGCGGATTTAACGTAACGCAATGCATTCGTAAGGCGGGGGTCCACTGTATCTGAAAACATTCACTTCTTCCATACTCCTCCTCCCCAATTTGATATCCAATTTTTCTTTATCTAAATCATTTGATACCCTCATCACCTTACTCTTTTCTATGTTCACTTTCAACTTTCTACATTTACACACACTCCCAAACTCGTCCACTAACCTTTGCAGTTTTTCTTTAGAATCTCCCATAAGCACAGTATTATCAGCAAAAAGTAACTGTGTTACTTCCCATTTTGTATTTGATTCCCCATAGTTTAATCCCACCCCTCTCCTGAACACCCTAGCATGTACTTCTTTTGGAACCCCATCTACAAATGTATTAAACAACCATGGTGACTTTACAGATCCCTGTCTAAGACCTACTTTTACCGGGAAGTAGTCTCCCCCTTTTCTGCATACCCTAACCTGAGCCTCACTGTCCTCATAAAAACTCTTTACAGAATTTAGTAACTTACCACCTATTCCATATACTTGCAACATCTGCCACATTGTTCCCCTATCCACTCTATCATATGCCTTTTCTAAATCCATAAATGCAATAAAAACTTCCCTACCTTTATCTAAATACTGTACTGTTCACACATATATGCTTCAGTGTAAACACTTGATCTACACATCCCCTACCCACTCTGAAACCTCCTTGCTCATCCGCAATCCTACATTCTGTCTTACCTCTAATTCTTTCAGTAATAACCCTACCATACACTTTTCCTGGTATACTCAGTAAACTTATTCCTCTATAATTTTTACAGTCTCTTTTGTCCCCCTTCCCTTTATATAAAGGGACTATACATGCTCTCTGCCAATCCCTAGGTACCTTCCCCTGTTTCATACATTTATTAAACAAAAATACCAACCACTCCAACATTGTGTCCCCCCCCTGCTTTTAACATTTCTGTCATGATCCCGTCAGTTCCAGCTGCTTTACCCCCTTTCATTCTACATAATGCCTCACGCACCTTCCCCACACTCACATCCTGCTCTTCTTCTCTCCTACAAGATGGTATACCTCCCTGGCCAGTGCATGAAATTACCGCCTCCCTTTCTTCGTCGACATTTGAAAGTTCCTCAAAATATTCTCGCCATCTACCCAATACCTCCATCTCCCCATCTACTAACTCCCCTACTCTGTTTTTAA